TCCTTAGTCTCTTCAGTGAATCGCTAATGTTTGTTGTTGCTTATCCCTTCTGACTGTGCGGCCATATGGCCTTCATTATTGAAAGAAGACATCAGCTGATGAAGGTTTGCAACTAACCGATGGAAATACTTTCTGGAATACGCCAAGTTTCCGAACCATTAGCTTGGCATCACTGTCGGAAGTTTGGATCTTGTTCCTTATGCTGAGTGCAGTTAAACTCCACACCGCATTCTAAATAATAAAGGCCAATCATCATTTATTAGTCTTGCTTTCACATCGTCATCTGTGCACTCTTGTAGTTGAAACGATGCCGCCGAGGTAAGTGAACGAGCTGACTTCATTTAGATCTTTAACTGTGATGGTTATTGGTGTCTATTGTTGATGGTTGAGTATTTTCATCAGTATTGTCTTTTAAATGTTGACATGAAGTTTTGTCCTAGCTGCCACACCCAACAATGCATTCTCTTTCTCTTGTCAGTCTTAGAATTTGTCAGAAACGTAACTTGAGTCAAAAGCGGAGTTCAGATACTCTCAACTTTTCTTGCCAGCCCAACGTGTACCTGCCTTCCACTCCATACAGTCTGTTGCATGATCCAGTTCAACAAAATCTGCAGTATCGTCGGTGACAACAGATAGCTTTGACTTACTTCTGTCTTCGCTAAAGTCACCTCACCGGGTTTTCTACTGTAAATCGCTAGGCATGTGTGATCATCATATAACCATTGAATAGTAAGTAGCACTTCGTAATGTTGAAGCAGTTTATAAATTACTTCACGATACAAACTATCAAAAGCCTTTTCAAAGTCTATGAAGCTGAGATAGATGGTGGACTCCCATTTCATGCCCTGTTAAGCAGCGCCTTGATTTTCCTGAATCCAGTTTTTTCTTCACGAATCTATGCATCTGGACCATAATCTGGTCTGCGCAGGATTAAGTGGCTTAATAATTTGCTTCGAGCGGGGTGCCAGCTCCCTAAAAGGCTTAAGTTCCCTTACTTGGGAAGCTTCACAAGTTAGCCCTTATTACCATTGGCAGGAACATTTCCTTCCTTAGAGACGTTCTGGAACAGTGGCGTTAGCATATACCACGAGGTCTCTGGGTGCCTTTCATTGCTTTCTAAGGAAAATCGGTTTGTCCGTGCTGCTTTAAGACATTCATCACTCCAGCTTTTTTCACAGGACTGGTTTCCGCTGGTGATTCGGTGGCTGTTGGCGGTATTTCTGCACTAGCTTTATGTGGTGGTCAGTTGCAGAATATTTCAAAGTGATAAGCTCATAGTTTCTTTTACTTTTTCTCCTTGTTTTTTTAAATACTAGAGACACAATAAGCTCAGTGTGAATTACAGAAGGTTGATACATAATAAAGGTACTAATGGAATAAAGTGAACTAGGTGAAAAGGAATAAAAAGGCATAATACGACATGAAAATATGGGTGATCATGTCCCTACTGACCTTATAGTAGGCTAGGGTAAACGAAGTCGACGGAAGTGCTTCTTTTGCACACATAGGTCAGGCATTTTCTTATTATTCTCTATCGCTCCCACTATAGCTAAGAGAGCTAATCGTGTGCATTTAGGCAGATTGTTAAGTACCCGATATACAACCGTAAATGACTCATCTATTTAGTTGTGGCGTTCACTATCTAATGGATGAGACAAAATGGCACTGTTTATAGCTTTGGTTACACTTTTTCATGACAAACAGCTACATATTCACGAACACTTAAAGATAAATTTCTCCAAGTTCGACCTATATAACTAGCTCCACATGAGCAATTGAACTGGTATACACACATTGATGTGGCCATCTCTGGTAATTTATCTTTGGTGCACTGTGACAGTTACTGTATGGTTAAGAAACTGATATGTAGTTCTGCAGCATCGAAAGTTCCTTCAACTGATCTGATCAACCTATGGCTTAATATATCACTACACATATTATTTTTGAACTGTAGTCTTGAATAAAGCTTTTTCTTATTCACCCTATCATGCTTAATTTATCGGAGACAAGTGTTCACTGAAAATCATCCTGTTCTGACTACACCATGAGGATTTTTAATTTACTTAAGTTTAGTTTTTATATTGTGTCTGTGTTTCCAAGTTTCCATAGTGGTTAGATAAGTTTTCCAACATAAAGTCGATAGCCCTATGTCAAACCTATCCTACTTTTCAGGGCTTAGTACCGACTAGTATACCACTGTACGGTAAACTAGACTAGATGCTTAAAAAACCTCTTTTATTTCTACATACTACTGAGTGATTTATATGAGTAGCAGCATACCACTCACATCAACCCGTAGCTCTTGCTAACCAGATCGAAGTGATGTGAGTGGTACACAACTACTCTTACTAGTCAACCACTAGTACGTGGCCTCACACATGTATACTGGGTTTCTTGATTCCCGTTTGTGGTATCAAACACATCACATATCGTGATCTGAATACGTTCCTCTTCTAAAAGAAACTGTGGTGAAATTCCACATCGAACTGGGTAATTTACAAATTACGAATATGATCGCAAGGTGGTTTCAACCCCTGCACGTAACTATAGAAAACATGTCATCTCAGTTCTGAAACCATATTCTTGAGAAGGCAGAGCACACCTTATTACGCTTATCCCCAATAAACGCATGAATAATTTGACCACTAATGAACTGGTGTTCCTATAATTAAACAGTAGATTTGAGCATACTTGTTTCTTCTCTTTGCAGACAATGGTGAAAACAGACAAGATCTTAGGGACTTTATAATTATGTATAACGCCGAAGGAAGAAGTGCATTCACTTCTTTATTTATTTTTAATAAATGAGGCAATAAGTATATTCAAAACATTTGTAAACTCGAAACTAATATCGAAACTTACCAGTATCTGATCTCAAATACAGATTTCGCTCATACACCCTTTTTATTTCAGTAACATATCTTGAGAAGTACACATTGTCTTAAACTAGTTCATGGTGCCCATAATTTAACACATTCACAACCAGATAAAGCAATATTTACAAGGAACAATGAATGGCGGATAATATAATAATTATAACAATTTGCTTTATTCCAAATTAGTACTTTTGATACAGTGTGAAATTTTCAGCATTTGGCACAATATTGTGTCGAATAACATTAAAAACAGTTATAAAAATGATATTACAGGATTGTTACTGCCAGTTCTTATTTGGTACTTGTAGTGACAGTGAAGTCATATTTTTATACGAAAAAATTGTAACTAATAATAAGATTGTCAGTTAATTGAGATAGGATGTAATAAAAAAGCCGCTTATTTTGCTAACAACAGTGTAATTCATAGGTTCCATGCTTAACATTGCCTCTTGCATAGAATACGTATATCTGAAAGAGAATTCAAACTCTCGACAAGTAGTTTTGACATTAACCTGTAAACTTTTCACTCAGTGCCTAATTTTTGTGAAACGAAATCATTGACCTTCATTCAATCGCTATGACTCATCACACACACACACACACATGGAATTTAATAAATAAATCATATTATTCTCGTCTTATTATTTTATCAATACCTCACTTTGTCGCTAATTTAGTAAACCTAGATTTTCGTGGACCTATATAATTTTATTTATTGTGGTTAATTTATGCCTAGTCTGATATTTGTCAATAGTTGGTTTGTAAGGATTAGATTTGTTTTTACGAATTGTTATCGATTAGAGAACTATTGGAAACCAACCAGGGAGTACTGGAAGGCTATTTCATCCTAGTTTGGGATAATTGTTTTATTATTATTTTCCCTTTTAATCCACCAAATGCAAACAAATCTAAGACAGGGGCTTCAGGCTAAACTACTTGAAAACTCGAACTTTCACATTAAACTTGCTACTGAATACCTTAGACATGAAGGAGGGTTATTAGTTTTAGTTCACTGGTATTTCAACCTTCAGTAAAGCTGTTCTGCATTTAACACAGTTCACTTTAACTCATTCCGCAACTAGCTTACTATTTTCCATAAACATTCGCCACTTGTACATCTGTGGTTTTGATGTTTGCGAATAAGCTGAACAAAATGCAATTACACTTTATTTCTAATTATTTTGACTAATAATGTAAGCATATGACTTTTAAAGTATGCACTACTGATTGATATCTCTTCAACCCACTGATTGCCCTCACTTGGTAATACAAAAGTATTGATAAACACCTGTTGTTTACTATTCTCCCGTCTACGACCACAAATCTCAATTGCTCAAGAATAGACCATGAAGGTTACAATGAAATAACAAACTTATTTTTCAGATAAAACTATTATTTAACTTTGAATTTCCTAACCATGAATGAGAAATGATGCACAAATATCGACACCCATCTACAATGCCATGTAGGATACAAACGTTTCCTTCAAAAAATTTATCTTATGGGAATATAAAAAGTCTTATCTCTGTATCAGTCTGTAATTTGAAACACCACTGAAGTTAAAATGTAATCGGAAGAAGAAATTAACCGAATTCCCATCCATTATGAATAAAGATAATATATATATATATATATATATATATATATATATATATATATATATATATATATTGACCGTAAATGCGTAAATAAGCCACCCCAACTATAACTATTGCAAACCAAATATAAAAACACAAACACATCACAGCAGTATTTATTATTAATCTGAAATACTCTCTAACACTTCAAATGAATACAAACAAAAGGCTACATATTTTGTATAATGAATGTAAACTTAACGAAAAAACAAGTAACTAGAAATGATTTCCATCTGTTCTTCACATGTATTTGCAAACATTATATATATATTCCCTGAGATTATTTGGAAATTGTTGGCAAACCCATACTCTAGAAACACTCAAAAATAGAAAGTAAACTATGAACAGAAGAAATCTAAACAACGAAACGGCACAGGATTTTATTAACAATAAAAATTGTGAAACAATTACAGAAGTGAACAAGTGAACAAACTTGGTTGCTAAAGTACTGTTACTCTTACTAATAAGTTTATCAAAAATGATAAAGCTATAGGTGAATTGGATGAGATTGGAAACAATGAATAAAATCTTGTGGTTGTAACTCCTTTTGGCATATTCGATGAACTGCAACAAACAGAGGGAAGTGTGCAGTACGATGTCTAGCGGCTAATATGTTATATATCTTGAGAAGAAAAACACAAAAACACCATTTAAAATAAGGTTGTTGTTTGTTTTGTTTTTTTTAATGTACTTTCTCATTGAAGATAACCAGATTTTAATAGTAAAATCTGCACTTTAATCTCATCATTGATAATTAAGAGTCGATTTATAATTTTATAGGGTTTGTAATTTAGGAATTCAAAACCTTACCTGTAGTTCACTACAGGATTACAATTATCGAATAACTTGTCAGTTCACGATAAGATAAGGGAAGATTTCGCATGTTTCCCAAGATATCTCTCCTCTTGAATAAAATAAACGTATTTATGCACAGAATTCTTGGTTTTCATCTGGACCAGAATGCATTTTTTAATCTTGAAAGTTAATATGTTGTTTATTCTTTTTTAATTGTACAAAAATCAGTAAAATTTGTTGAATAAGCGGAATCAAAATTCGCAACCCAATTTTTAAAATCAGTGTTTGTGTACGACTATTTTGAGATTAGACTGTGGAAGCAATTCACTGAATGATAAACTATTCTGTAATTCTGTTTAATATTCATCAGTTGTAATGAATAATGGATCAGTAATTGAAGCTCAAGATTCTATCGAAGTAAATCTTCAATGAATTCAATGGAAGTTTATGCAAACAACAAAGTTTCTCCGTGAAAAATGATCACTCGGCTATGCTATCAATCATTGCGATATGTATAGATCAGTTAGCATCAATCCAGCCTATTCCTTACCGAACAAATGATCAGTTAAGTGCACCACAATAACACAAGCATATTAATAATCACAACAGTACCTTAGATTACTGAATAAATTTCAGTCACTTTCGTGAAAATATCGAGCAAACTCTAACCCCATCCTGCCCCTGACAGTCATAATTTAAAAGCATACTTATTGACATTTACTACCGGCTCCATCTTAAACTGAGTATCTGAATTCGTGAATCACAAAAATGTTCAGTATTGAAAAGATAATGTTCCCAACTAAGACTATCTTGTTAAAAAACGATCTGCTATGATTTATTAATTGATGTGACTTCGATAGGTAGCACTGTTCACCACCACATTGGGTCGATAACAAACGAAACTACATGAGTGTTTAACATGAATACAAACAAATCACAAGTAACAAATGCATTACTGTCATTCCGCATACTGGCATGGTCCAGATATGTTAGAGAAAGTCAGCATAGAGAAGACATAGGTGGTGAAGATAGCCAACCAACAACAACAACAACAGCAGCAACAAACAGCACCAGTCACTATGAGCGGGAGAAATTTGAAAGATGTCACTTCCTTCCTTCCTTCACTTAATCTAGAAAGCACGAAGGGAACGGATGAAGAGGTCAAAGCTGGAGAGAATCAGAAAAACAAGATACACACGCCTTCATCAATCTGAAATCGGTTTGGAAATCTTCTGCACTCCACCTCCGAATAAAGAACAAGATTCGAATTTTCAACACAAATGTAAAATCAGTCAATTCTTCTATATGGGTCATAAACTTGGCGCACGAGTCACGAAAAGCATTTCCAACAGGCTGCAGGCTTTCATCAGCAACCGCCTTTTCCCTGGCTCCACAATGAAGATGAAATGGTCAGTCAGAAAGACTTATTATTAACAATAAACTCTGGCTGAGAACAAACCAACCAAGAGCCGATAGCTCAACAAATATGTAGGCGGAAATGGAGATGGATTGGGCATGCATTGAGGAGGCTATCGAATGACATCGCGCCTCAGACCCTCTCGAGTGGAATCCTAGTGGGAAATGACAAGTGGGTCGTCGGCGCTAAAGTAACATGGAGGAGATTGTGAGAAAAAGAAACGAGACATTAATGGCACTTGTAGGCCCAGATGAAGAAGACAGCAGAAAGTAAAAGAAAGTGGAGATGTGTTGTTGAAGCCCTCCCTATGCCAAGAGTCACTCGCAGCAAACAAAACCAAGCTAATGAAAGTGATTTACTAGCCCCCATTATAACTGCAACATATTTGATAACCACATTTGAGTAGCTCATATATGTATGGTTTAAGATACGTTATTTAGGATTTCGTAAAGAGAATACAACTCATTTTTGTTGCATGAAACAAAAATTTAACTTCACTTAATGACAAGGAAACATCTATTTTTTAATGCCTACAAATGAAAGAAACCGATTGGTCTTAGTGTGTGCGTCGGTGGCACAGTGGTTAGGACTCTCACCGATCATGCACATGGTCCGAGGTTCGATCCCCTGGCGACGCACACCTGATATCTATGGTCGGCCTGGAAAATTTGGACTACCGATATCCATGCTGAAAATCCCATACTTGTAGCAAAAACACAGTGTGGAATCAAGCTGTAATCAAAAATATAAAAAAATAAATTTGAACAAGGCATTAAGAAGACAAATTTCGCGAGATGATATCATTTCGTAGTTTCTTTACAACCGCTTTACAACTAACATGGTTAACAATGATAAAATAAATAAACAAACATGGACTGGACAATATCTTCATTTTACCAGTTTTGTTCCTATCCAGTATAAACGTTCCCTAGTGAAATGTTTGTTCTCAAGGGCCCGGAAAATATGCACGAGTGACACACTGATGGATGAGCTTCGACATGTACATTCAGTTTTATTAGCTAATGGTTATCCGGAGAGCTTTATCACTTGTCACAGCAAAGAAAAACCACATCTCGAAAAGACAGCTTCTGTACCAAAGAAAGCCATCTTTATTAATCTACCATTCAAGGGCGACCAGATTATGCAGTTGACAACTCAAAGACTTCGATCAGCCATCAAACGCACATTCTACGCCGCATCTCTTTTTCTCACTTGCCGAACATTTTCGATCCCTGTTCCTACGATTAAAGGACGAAATTCTGTGGACTCTACTTCAAACTGTATCTACAAGTTCACCTGCAGCTGCGGTGACACCTATATAGGTAGAACTAACAGAATGTTCCAATGTCGTCGAAAAGAACATATTCCAAAATGGCTAGTAAACCATATCGAAAATCCCAACGCGATTAATCTTAATAGAAATCCAGCATCATCCATTGCAAAACACTTATTAATGTCTGGTCACAAAATAAATATTAATGACTGTTTCACAATTATTTCACATAACTCTAATTCAAGGTTATTGAAGGTGATGGAAGCACTTTGGATTAATCACATACAGCCTAAACTGTGTGTACAAAAATCAATAGACTTCAATCTTCGCCTACCCTGGACTGCATGACCTATCTTAATATGATTGGTCATTAGTATGTACTTTTGTTTTTATTTAACTGAGTAATTTTCATGAACTTTATTTTATCATTGTTAACCATGTTAGTTGTAAAGCGGTTGTAAAGAAACTACGAAATGATATCATCTCGCGAAATTTGTCTTCTTAATGCCTTGTTCAAATTTATCAAAGGGACTAATTGTTTTAATAAAAAAATAAGAAAATTTTTATCTACCTCGTGACCATCTTTTGACTGCTAGTTTTTACAATTCTGGCTAGTCCTATTAACTTATTTGTATTTTACGTAACTCTTCTGAGTCATCCTATTCTTCTTAGTCATCATTACTATTTTACAAATTTCTTGATTACGTAATAACTTATTGCTAACGCCTAAGAATTCACTTATCTTCAATTAATTAATTCTCACCTCTCTCTCCTTCAAAACTTAAATATCTTGTTGCTAACATGTATTAGTCTGTTTTTCTGATGACATTTAAACTCTTAATTTCACCCACCTCTTCCATACTTAAAACTGATGAACCAAAATAACCAGTTGACTAGTTAAACATTTTGATGTAAAAAAAACTATATATTGGTGTAGAGCCAGCCGATGATGAAGAACTAATTGAAAAGGAATGTATTTTTTCCGGGAATCTTGTGGTGCATGCATAAGGAACTGGATATGTACTGAACATTCTTTGAGAAGACACTTGGGTGACACCACAAAGTAGGCCCTCCGAACAAGGAGTGACTATTTGAGTTTGGGACTATGAAATGAAGGAGATCATGGTAGGGGTAAATAGGAGGTTGTGAGAGTTGTGGAGTCATTAAAATTAATTGAAGAGAACCGAGTAGTCTGTTACATTTGGACATAATAATAATGATGATAACACCAATAATAATAACGGTAATGATAATGCTACTTCTCTCTCCACCCAGTCGTATCACTTTTTATTGCTGTTAGCTATTTCATCCTTTTGTTTACTCCCATGCCTACACAATGGATGGAAGCAACGGAGATTTCTTCTAGATTACATAATTTGGAGGGGTTTTTCATGTCACACTGTGCTAAATTTACGTTTTCCGACAACCTCGCTGCCTTCCATCTACCAGTCTGACCCATGTAAGTGACCTCCTAGTCATTGTCAGTTAACTTTTAGTTTGAGTTATTTTGTCTAAACGTCTAAATGGGCTCCTTTAGGTGACAGACTTCATCTCAGAGTGATTTGTTTCATTTGAATGCCTTCTTAATGCCGACCTTATCAAGAATTGTACGTGGGTTTTAGGATGTCATTTTATTATGTGATTATTATTATTCCACTGATGCAACTCCTCGACTTGATAGCTCTCCACTTCCTCTCCACTCTGCATCCACTAAAAACGATGGAAGCCAAAAAACCACCACCGACAGCCTCCTAAAGCCACGCCACCAATTTCATATAGGAGCTTTTAATGTTAGGACACTTTGCCAAATAGGACAACAAGCATCACTAGCCAAGACTCTGGCATCACGAGCCATTGATGTATGCTGTGTTTCAGAAACACGCATACAAGACCCAAGTGTGGTTATTCACCTAACCCCACCTGGCCAACAGGTTGAATCTGCAAAATTCACCTTGAGGGTGTCAGGAGATGCCACAGCTAGTTCACGAGGATTAGCTGGTGTAGGGATAGCTTTGAGTACTAGGGCAGAAAAGACATTGCTTGACTGGATCCCGGTAGATAGCCGAATGTGTGCTGTCCGTCTGAACGGGTCAGTAAGAAGGAGAAAGGACTGCACTACTCGCCGATGCCTTTTCGTAATCTCCGCCTAGCCCCCACTGACTGCAGTTCAGATCAAAAGAAAGATGAGTTCTACCAAAAGCTGTCTAGTTTGCTGCGAAAGGCTAAACGCTCAGATATAGTCGTTCTAACTGGTGGCTTTAATGCTCAAGTAGGGAAATTGTGTCAATCTGAGAAGGATGTCGGTGGCACCTATGGAGTTCCGTGCCAGCGAACCGACAACGGTGACCGTCTCCTACAGTTCTGTTCTGATAATCATTTGTTTCTTGTAAGCACTAACTTCAAACACAAGGAGAGACACTGTTTGACTTGGAGACCCCCTTCATCAAACCAACGCTGGACACAAATAGACCACATAGCAATAAGCTATCGTTGGCGTGGGTCGGTAGGAGATTGTCGCTCCTTCTGGAACACGTGTGTGGCTACCGACCACGCACTGGTCCGCGCTCGGGTGTGCTTACGACTGAACGGACGTAGGATACAGCTGGCGGTAAAACCATCACGTCCCCAGCTCGATCAGGAAACTAAATCCGTATTTGAGGAAGAACTAGCTAAACACATATCTGTGTTCGACAGCTGTGCTCACCCTGAAGAAGCTTGGAAAAATATCCAGGCAGCCATAGATACAGCTGTAAAAGCTGTGAATAAGTTAAACCCAAAGGTGAGTAAAAACCACTGGATCTCCACCGCCTCATCCGAACTGATAGATGCTAGAAGACTTATTCCGGCGAGCTCCGAATTCAATGAGGAGCGAAAGCTGCACAAAAGGAAACTTACGAAAAGTCTCCGCAAGGACCGTGAACAGTGGTGGGTGACAAAAGCGAAAGAGATGGAGAAAGCTTTGAGGATAGGCAACACCAGGCAACTATTTAGACTCATCAGGGAAACGGGTGGGAGAAGACAAATCATTAGTGAAACAATCTCGGAAAAAAATGGCACTATAATTAGCTCCCAGGATAGACGACTGGATCGCTGGAAAGAGCATTATGAGGAGCAGTTTAATTTGCCCACAGCCACGCTCAACCTTCCGAGCATCCAACACCTCCCTGAATGGGATATAGACACAGGTCCTCCATCCCTAACTGAGGTTACTAAAGCTGTCACCGCCTCACTTATTTGGGAAGTACCATCAGCCCCAAAGGGTTGATCTCTGACGAAATCTCAGCACGAATACAGGGGGCTCGTTTCGCATTTGCCAGTTTACGCCGACTCTGGCGTAGACGAGATGTTCGACTATCGACCAAAGGGCGGGTGTACTGCTCATCAGTCCGCTCCGTCCTCCTTTATGGTTGTGAGACCTGGCCACTGAGAGTGGAAGACATGAAAAGATTAGCTGTCTTTGATCATAGGTGCCTGCGCTCTATTTCCCGTGTAAAGTGGCATAATAAGGTGAGCAACATGGAGGTTAGGTGTAGAGTTCTAGGTAAACAGGGGAAATCAATCGACGAAGTCGTGAAGCTACAAAGACTGAGATGGTTAGGACATGTGTTACGTATGCCTAGTCATCGCCTTCCTCAACAGACGAGCAATGTCAGCGGATATAGGGTCAGGCTGGAAAAAAGCTAGCGGCGGTCAAACAAAACTTGGCACCAGTCAATGAAATCCACAACAGTTGGTCTAAGCCACGTAGGAAGGTGTAGACTTCCAGGCTGGGGTCCTCGGGACGGTAAAAATCTATGGTTGAAAACAATTGGTGACATGGCTCAAAATCGTTCTCAGTGGCGCAGATGCATCCACTCCTTGTGACTTATGATCTCCAATAAAACTGTTTTGTTCTTCGTTATTACTCCTTTGTCTCACACCTCTGCTCACTGTTTCTATTATGCTTTTCTTGTACTTCCTTCTCTTGCTTCGCGTGCTACACGGAGTGTGGCGACTTGAACTTCCGCACATTTGTGCAAAGTTCTATGTCGAAAACAGACAGATAGACAGATGTGATAACACTACGAACTTCCTAATGCATTTTACAGGATACGTATTTGGGACTAATGCTTCCTTCTGTTTCATCTCTGTTTTAGGTTTTCTGATGTCCTGTTTGGAATTTTTACTTGGTTGATTGGGGACTAGACTAAGGGATGAAATAACTTAAAATCTAAATATCTAGTGGAGTGCAACAGCTTTTTATAAACACTAGTACATAATTCTCCTTATATTACAGCCTAACCTAGCTAATTCTTCTTGTTCATTTCTTAACTTAAATGCAAATTTAATTTCTTCCACTACCGTGCTTATATTCATGAATAAACTGGATAAGTATTTAGAGATCGGAATTGTTGGTGATTATCTGCTTTGTTTTATCTACATCTTTCTAAAGTTCTTTGTTGGCTGTATCTTGTGTCAGATTTTAGGTGTTTGGGTTTGTGCAGCACAAGACAAGATCGTAGGCAAAATTCTAGCCTGTTTTTCCAATCCGGCGTGTTTTCATCTTCTCACTCCCCACCTACGGTCTGTCAAAATCTCACCAGCCCCGGAAATAATTGAACTTTATAAAAAAATCTGAAAGTGATTTCCATCCTGATATGATAACGGACAATAAAGTGTGTTCGAAACGTAACCCATAGATAAATAACACTATATCAGTATGTTTTAAATTAAATAAAGTTATTCTGTTATATGATTAAATGAATGTCTAAAACCCTAAAACGTGAGAGGTGGTGAATGAAGCACTTTCAGTCAGTCAGTTTTTTTCATCTTAAGCATATTTATGCCACTAGCGGAAAACAGTCTTATATAGGACTGCTGAAAGGTATATCTTGTACGCGATTACTTAAGCCTTGTGATTGAGCTTAATCGCCTGACAAAAACTTATGTTAGGTTAAAACTGAATGTTATGCAGTTAGCCCAAAAGCATTCCTCGTCATAACATTCAACTACAAAATTACCTGCGCTGCATACTCAACTCCGTCGGCGAATGTTCTGTAAGTATTTTTTGATAATTCTGACCGTAGGGTATAATCTTCTAAAGTAGACAATCTGCGTCCAACAGCAATATTCACTAGATCTAAATCTGACCCAACACCTGGAATGTCATCTGTTCGGTGAGCCATACCTAGAAAGAAAAAGTTCTAAGGCATAAAGCACTTGGAAATAAGTTCACGAACGAAGACAAAATTAAGACAGATTATATTTTGTTAGCTTGCCTTCAAATTTTGCATAGATTATACCTTGAATTATTCAAGAGATGAGACTAGAATTCTGCAGATAGATAAGAAGAGTCTAGAACATCTAGATTTCGCAGATATTTGCATCTTATGTCACAAAACACGAAGACTTGTAGACGGAAACCAACAAAAAGGCTGAAGAAGAAGGCGGCGAAGACAGGAATCCAGGTGAACATATAGAAGACGGAGTTGATGAGGATAAAAAACGAACAACAAAAAGCACCAATTACCATCAGCAGAATAGATTTAAAAGTGGTCATTTCATTCGCTCATCCAGAAAGTATTGATTCAGTCACAAGTGAAACAGATAACAATGTCAAAGCCAGCCAGGATCGGATAGGCGAGACAGACCTTAATCATTGTGAAATAAGTTCGATAATCTTCTGTACTCATCATTAACAACAAAATTCGAACTGTCAACACCAGTTTCAAGTCACCTCTTCTATACTGATGAGAAACGCCACGCGAGTCATGAAAAGCATTTCCAACAAGCTACTTCAGACTTTTATCAACAGCTACCTTCGCTAGCTCCATACTGAAGAACAAATGTCTGGTCAGAAAGAACTAGTAACAAAAAAATCTGGAAACGAGTGAACCAACAGCCTATTGCTCAACAAGTATGCCGAAAAAGACGGACACACCCTTAGGAGAAAGCTGAGTGACATCAAGCGCCAGGTTATCGCTCGAGTGGAAGCCGAATATGTGACGACGCATTGGGCACCCGAAAGTGATACGGAGGGGACGAGAGCTTATGCGTGACAGTGGAGCCAGTTAAAGATGACTGCAGAAAACAGGATGAAGACATGTAGTTGAAAACCTATATTCCGCTTCAAACCCTGGGGAATAATAATGTAATAATTCAATACTCAGTAATTTTATTTGCAACAACAGTATTATTTCTTTTAACTCCTAGAGGAATAGAGAGCTTCAGCCGCACGTCTACATTGCCTTCGGTTCTCTGATAGAGTTTTCACCTGGCTCCAAATCTGTCCACACTCTTTCATCTCCTCTTCACATGACCTCCTCCAAGTCACCCTTGCACCGACGACCAACTCGCCGCTTCCCTTTCGGGTTCCACTCGAGCAATGGCTTGTCTAGTGATGTCACTTGATGGTTTCCTCAGCGTATGGCCAGCCAATCCATCTCCATTTCTTCCTGCCTATTTGTTTCACAATCGGTTTCTGGTTGATATATGTGTAAAACTTGGGCACTGTGGTAGTAAGTAATTCCATAAAAGAAGCCTTGAAACTTAATAATTACCCGGATAAATTAGTCAAGAAATATGTAAGTAAATGTAAAAATAAAATAAATAATGATAATAGTGATAGTAATGATAATAATAATGATAACAATAATAATAATAATGGAAATAATAATAATAATAGTGATAATAATAATATTAATGACGACACCAACAATAAGGAATCTAAATCATCAACAGTAATTCCACACAAGGAAGGAACCTCGGAAGCCTTACGCAGAATACTTAGCAAGGCAGGAATAAAAGTGGCATTCAAACCCACAAACTCAATTAGAAACATGCTTTGTCGGTTAAAGGATCCTGTGGAGCCATTAAAACAAAACAATTTAGTTTATCTAATACCCTGCTTGAATGATTGTCAGGTCAAATACATAGGTCAAACTAGTAGAACAGGGGCAGTCAAACTAGCCGAACATAAAAACCTAGCTAAATCTAGATTGGTTGACCCAAATAAGATAAGAAATCTAGGAAATAGTTCAGCTATAGCACTACATGCAGTTACACACAATCACACAATAGGATGGGATAGGATGACAGTTTTAAAATCTAATGTCACAGGGTATAGGGAGAGATTGATAACAGAAGCTTTGTTTATCGAATCAACGGCAAATACATGTAATAGAAACGATTCAACACCTGTCCCAGATATGTGGAAAATTCTACTACCCCTACGACGACAAATAGGAGACGACAAAGAAAACTATAAAACTCAAATCTCAAAGTCGTGTGACCACAATTGATATGATTATGAACAATAAATTGTGTTCGAAACGTCATCCAGTATACAATACTGTTTCACTGTGTGATACATCTAATAAACAAACTAATACGGTCCTGGTTGGTTCGCTCCCAGAGATCCCTGTTGCTGATCTTTTCTGGCCGGCCATCTGATCTTGAGTATTGAGCGAAGACAGCTGTTGATGGTCTGTAGTTTGTTTGAGGTGCTCTTTATGACGCGCCAAGTCTCTGATCCGTATAGTGAGTAGCGCTGACTTCACATTGGAGTTGAAAATTGGGATCTTATTTTTCATGCTAAGTGCTGTTAACCTCCACACAGACTTGAGAGCAGTGAAAGCTTGTCTTGCTTTCCCGATCCTTGCTTTGATATCCTCGTCAGTTCCGTGCGGCTGTAGTTGAAACGATGTTTCCCATGTAGGTAAAGGAGTTTGTTTCCTTCAGGTTCCTCCTATTTATGCTGACTGTTGTTAGCCAGGAATCTTTATCACCTCTGTCTTCTCTATGTTCACCTGAAGGCCTGTCTTTGATGCTTCTTCTGCCAACTTGTTGATGTTCATTTGCATATCTTCCAGTATGTGGGAAATCAGACATATATCATCGGCGAAGTCCAGGTCCTTCAAGTTTTTTGTGTGGGTCCATTGCAATAAAACAGTGATACAGTATAAATAAGTGGATGATGTTTCGATCGCAAGGTACTGCTCATAATCGTATCGATTCAGTCACACGGCTTCATAATTTGTCTTAAATAAATTTCTCTTTCTCTCTTCCCCTTGTTTGTTGCCTCTTTTATTTCGATTGCGTGATTATTGTTGGATAGATGAACTAGGATTCAGCGATTAATCTCTCTCTGTCTCTATGTAACTGATTTACAGTCATTACATGGTATTTGGTGAATTACATTATCCTCCTCATTCAGATCTATTGGATCCTGATTGTTGGTTAGTTTAAATGCCACCGCAATTCCGGCTTCATTAAGAGTTCTACGTGGGCCGTCTGACGTTCCACTACAGAGGGTTTGAATTATATATTTTATTCTTGTCATTTTCATATGATTATGAGCAACAATTTGTGCTCAAAACGTCATCCAGTTATTGATACTACATAACATTGTTATTTCACATACACTTATCTAATATGCAATCACATTCTACCACAGTACCCAAGTTTGACACATTAATAATACAGTAGTTCGGTAATAATAATCCCGAGCTGTTCACTTTACCTGCTAATCAATTCTGTTACAAATGGATTGAGAAACAATGGCCAGGTACAATAACCAGTCATCATTTAGTTCGCAAAAAGACTGATCTGCTAAGCGAAGCAGGAGTTTGCATCAGACAGACCACGAAGATAGTGAAAATGCCTGTACTAATATTAAGTGCATATAAAGACTCGGATGATAAGCCAAGTTGTAATGCCCTACTCCTGATTCTCGTTTGTAACTGACTTTCACTCTATAATCAAATCTGTTTTGTTTGCCCCGCCAAAGTTTCCTCTATTAATACAGTGTGTTACGATTGCGCCTTTCTGAATTAAACTGTTCTGATAATAAATTCTCTTCAATCTACACATGTGCCTTCTAGTTTTACTTTGCGTGTCCTGGCTAACCGAAGCCTTTAGTATATTTAAACGTTTGACAAAAGACTAGGATTTATGTGTACGCCCGTGGCAGTCAAATACGCTTCAAAATAAACAATACTGCACATACCATGAACAAGTTAAATGTTTGCTGGGATCTATACGAAGTGAAATGTCAATTAGGTGAGGAAGTACGAAAATCTTAATTGTTTTAATCCATCTATCTTTCAGTAGGCTTTGATACATAATGCAATAGGAATCAGAGAAGTACCCAATTAGTTGTTATGAGGTTTCTGTATTACTAGTCCTAATAAAAAAATCCTTAGGCTTCGTTTCTTACATATCTGCGGTAAAATTGACTGATAGATACGATGTCCATTTTCTATTACTAATTGTTAACACACTTTGTCAAATTTCAAAGCAAAAACTAACAGATTATGCACATACAACATAAGTATTGACTCCGACTGAGATATACTGTCTTACACCTTTCATTATAAGAAAATGAGTTTATTTATGGAAACCTCAAAAAATATATATATAGTCTCCATAGAATATCCGCAAGTTCGAATATAAATGTTTATCAATCACAATTTTGTCTTCTGACAGTGTCGAGTTTGTATGACAAGCAAACAAACTACTAGCTCAACAGTGATGTGGTACAATGTGTAACGCCTAGGTGATATTAAACAAGGAAACTGTTGTTCGAAAATCCTACCACCAAAATCCTTCCCTTGAAATAGTGAACTTACATTAACAAATGAACCCACTTCTTGGATACCTTCGAAATGATTTTTAGACATAAATGATGCCAACACTGAACACTCCATAATAGCTTTAAACAACAGAGAGACGAAATCTTATAATCCATTATATGAGTAAGGTAGGTGTAAGTGGCCTCCAAAAAACTACCAACAAGAAAATGCTACTACCAATCAATGCAACCAAAACGATTAGCCGATGAGACACCAAGGAAAAAGAAGATATGATCAAAGTCCCCATGATAATGACAGAATTTTCAAATGCTTCGACTGCTGAAGTGTTCATGTGCAGCGATTTTGCGTGACCTTTTAGTAAATTCGTCAGAGGTTGGGCCAGCTGTGCACAGTGAGGAATGAAACGGAGATAAAAATTGACGAGACCAATGAGTCGGAGTGACTTTTTCAAAGAATCTGGGATGGGTTATTCTTTTATGACTTGAAGCTCTTCTGTTATCAGTCGAATACCTTGATTGTCTACCAGGTGACCCAAAAATTTAACCGCTCCCTTACCAAATTCACATTTACTTGGCTTAAAAACAATCCGATAT